TCTAACAGTGATCTCATCCCACAATCCTTACTCTTGCTCCATATGCGGCCTCCTTTGTCTAGCGGGTTTTAAAGTGCCACTTAAGATTATCGTACAAAATTTCATAACTGAAACAAATGGTTAAGTTGTCAGATCTTCATACCTCGAAACCGACGGGAGAGTCCATTGTTATATATATATATATATATATATATATATATATATAATATATATACAATATGTTAATCCGTATGGAATTTCCCGGAAAATATAGACTTAGGGAGAGCTCTATCTCAAAAGACATAGCAAAATTATTACCAATCTCAAATAACAACTTAAAAGAGACTGTTTGACCAACACAAGGAATGTTAAAAGATTCATGTTAAAAAGATAAAAAAATTAAAAAAAACAAATGAAAACTACAGTCAAAAGTTCATTTTCTCCGGCAAGACATTCATTTCTGTAGTTTACTGCTATCAGCAAGCAGAAATATTTCTTCTCCTGATGATGGCCAATTTGGCCGAAACTAGTCGAGGAATCTAAATGAAATAATAATAAAAAAACGAAAGAATATTAATCTACAACCCAGTGTGTCTGAAGATTTTAATTTTTTAATATTTTTTATTGTTAAAATATACATATATATATATATATATATATATATATATAAAAATTAAAGAATATCAAATATCTAAATGCCATAGGTAATAATTTTAATTTCATGATAGCTCTAAACAAAAGTAGCTCACAATCATCAAGACCTACACACAAAATCACAAATGAAATGGAAAAAATATTGCGCGTTAAAATCAAGAGATATTGCTATCTTATTTGCCATTCTCTAAATAAAATAGCAATATCTCTTTATTTTAACCAGGGATATTTTTTCCATTTCATTTGTTATTTGTTTGTAGGGTTTGGAGAGTGAGAGCTGCTTTTTTAGAGCTCTCATGAAATAAAAATTATTATTATTTTAAGTTTTGATATTCTTTAATTATTAATAATAATATATATATATATATATATATATATATATATATATATATATATATATATATATATATATATATATTTTTGGTTATTTATATTTATCGCCGTGAAATGAACTTTTTTAATCAGTGGCATTTTATGCAGACTGTTTAAAGAATCTGCTCATGTGCATTTTAAAAGAAAAGAAAAATAATTCTTATGGAATTTTTTCTATTGTTAACGACATAAAAAAAATCACATGTCAGCCACTGAGTTATGAAGAGATTTTTTTTTAATGAGTGACATGTAAAAGGAGAGAAGGAAAAAGAAGAAACAAAATCCAAGAGAGAGAGAGAGAGAGAGAGAGAGAGAATGAAGAACAAAAAAGAATTTGTGTAAGGTTAATTAAGAGGAAGAGACTAAAAAAAAAGTGCCGACGACATTGAAAGTAAAGGAAGAAGATGGTAATGAAAAGGAAAGAAACAGAATGAAAGAAAAAAATTGTGGGTGGGGGTGGATAGAATGAAAGTCAAAACTATTATTCTTCTCCTCTTTTTTCGTTTCGTTTTCTTTTTATTTACAGTTTTTTCATCCTCCACAAGCCCCAAGAGCCACTCAAGATAGAGTGTTACAAAGTAAGAGGCCCAGTTTAAGCGGATATCCTGGGACGATAACGGTTAATCCTAGAATTGAACAGTTTAAGATTGTAGTGATCGAGGAAGCATCCTCTTGGGATTTATAAAAAAAGCACCCTGTTGGGAGTTAAAGAAAAGGCATCCCCTTGGGAGTTAAAGAAAAGTAGGAAAGAGATGGTAAAGGAAACGAAAGAAACAGAATGAAGGAAAAAGTTGGGGGGCGGATAGAATGAAAATTAAAACTTTTCTTCTTCTCTTTTTTTTGTTTTCTTTTTATTTACAGTTTTTTCACCCTCCACAAGGCCAAAGAGCCACTCAAGATAGAGTGTTACAAAGTAAGAGGCCCAGTTTATGCGGATATTCTTGGACGATAACGGTTAACCCTAGAATTGAACAGTTTAAGATTGTAGTGATCGAGAAAGCATCCTCTTGGGAGTTGGTTCCATAAAGCAGTTCATGGAGAGAAGCTGCTAGATTGAAACCTACGTCTCACCAACACAATACGAAGGGAATGAAGGTAGTTTGCTACAATGTCTGTGGAACAGTTTTTTCACCCTCCACATGGCCCAAGAGCCATTCAAGATAGAGTGTTAATAAAAAAATAAAGGGAAGCTTTTGACAAATTATTTCCTGTCATTTATATATATATATATATATATATATATATATATATATATATATATATATCACAGTGTCACATATATATATATAAGAGCGGTGAGGGTAAGAACCTGGGGAACTAAGGAATGTAGTTCATCTGAACACTCTCCATGCACACAGCGATAGAGCAGTGAGAGGCTTGCGACGTCTCGTCGGGAAGAAAGGGGTTGCAAAATGTAAAATAAGTCATCGCCTACAAGGATGCGGAAAGATCTTTAGACATTATCGAGACTGTAAAGTAAAGACTGGACAACACCTACCCATATATGGTAGCAGTACTCCATCTCCGGCCTGATCTGTCTTTTGTAACGGTACATGATTACAGGTGTGAGGTACTTTCTGGAGCGATAAAAGCAGTCAACCATCTTCCCAGCATCCATAGAGGTGGATCATATATACGAGACTAGCAGCATAGTCCGGCATTGCCCGTGCTTGATTCAAAAATCGTACGACTCATACAGCAATCGCTATCACTTGACTTAAAATATTTTTGCCCTTCCTTGCCTTTAAAGGAGTGCCCTTTGCCGTGCTGATGTTGCTACATGTCTTACTTCTTGCCTATCTCACACTGCGAATTTTTTCTAAGCTCTATACTAAACATTAAATCTGTTACGAAAAAAGAACTAAACAAAATGAACACAAAACGATCAGCTTTAAAAAAGGACTTGTAACTGGAAAAACCGAATGAAAAAAGAATGTTAACAACATATACTTTTTCACAACCAACCCAGTTCTGCGGAATCAGAATCAACGTTGAGTTTAAACAAGCGAATGAGCCAATTGGAGTAAAGTGGCACGCAGATTTAAATTTTTTCCACTTGTGACGAATGCAGCTATCGATTTTTTTTTTTTGCATGCTAGCATGCTAGTTAACATTCGTGTCAGTCAGCTGTTGGCTCTCACTCTGGCCAGTAGAAAATGGCCGCAAACTACATGAAAACTGCCGTAGAAGCATGAAAAAATCGATTATTTCCACTATCGATGGGAGTTAGGAAATGCAAAGTCGGCCTTGGCCTTCCCACTAACTTGGAACATGTGCATGTAAATTTTGATGCAAATCTGTCGAAAATTGCGACCGTGCATTCGTTACACACACACACACACACACACACACACACACCCATCCTGCCTTTTATAGATACAGATCCACGAGGTTCTGGGTTGAGTTCCCGAAAGTCCCAATAGGCACTCAAGGCACGGGGCTTCCCTGAGGGAACAATTACGATAGCAAAAAAAGCTTGCTAACCTTTCCACCAAGTCAAAGTGCCCTAAAATGATTTCCTAAACGTAGCTTAGATGTGGCACAAGACCGAAAGTATGGGGGCACACAGTAAGGATCGAACTCACTATTCAGCCGTAATTGATCTAGCGAGGCAAGCTTGCTTACCATAACACCACGTTGAAATACCCCGGGTTATTTTCTAAGCGTAGCTTAGAGATGGCACAAGACCGGATGTATGGAGGCTCACAGTGAGGAACGAACTCATTACTCAGTCGGAATTCATTTAGCGAGACAAAGTATTTGGGAAGTGAAATTGAGGAGCCGAGTTGAAAAATACAGAATATTCTGTTGTGTTGCCTTCGGCAAAAATATCACCGAGAAAAGTAATGAGCTCTTCTTTCTCTATCTATCGACGAAGTAGTAGGGTATATCCAAATATCCAGCCTTGATTGTCAACCAATTTAGGAGCAGGGTCATTCTGAATTCAGAACCGTTGAGAAGTCAACGGGAATCACTCCACTATCTTCCCGAAGTAGGGATAACAATTCTCATGTAATAAACTAAAGGAAAGCGTAGAGGATCATAAACATCTACATCTCAAACAGATATCATATTTTAAAATCGGTATTTATTTCAAAGACTTTCTATTATGACGTTTTTTTTTTGTTTTTTTTTTTCATTATGTACTTTGGAAATTTAGCATTAATAAATATAATTTTGGTATTTAACGTTAAAAAATTTATTTTGAAAACTTTCAAAACCAAATTCCTATACGCGAACAAGTGCGACATAGGGTAACACGAAGAGGTTTATTGTATATACAATCGCGAAAATGAAGGGAAGCTTTTCACAAATTATTTCACAAATATATATATATATATATTATATATATATATATATATATATATATATATCACAGTGTATCAAATATCATATATATATATATATATATATATATATATATATATATATATATATATATATAGTATATATATATCATATATATATATATCACAGTTTGTTCATATCTATTTATCTATCTATCTCAGTCTCATATATATATATATATATATATATATATATATATATATATAGATAGATAGATAGATAGATAGATTAGATAGATTGATAGCAAGCTGTTCATATCTATGTATCACTGTTCATATCTACTATATATCTATCACAGTCTGCACATATCTATCTGTCTATTGCAGTCTGTTCAAATCTATCTCAGTCTGATTATATATATATATTATATATATACACACACACATTTTTGTGTGTGTATATATATATATATATATATATATATATATATATATATATATATATATATATATCATATTCATATCTAACTATGACATACTTTTTTTTTTTTTCTTGTCTGTCACAGTCTGTTCATATCTATAGCAGTCTGTTCATATATATCGCAGTTTGATCATATATATATATATATATATATATATATATATATATATATGCATGTATGTATATATATATATACGTATCAGGCTGTTCGTATCTGTCTATCACAGACTGTTCATATCTATCTATCTATCTATCTATCTATCTATCTATCTCAGTCAGTTCATATATCTATCTATCTATCTATCTATCTCTCTCTCTCTCTCTCTCTCTCTCTCTCTATATATATATATATATATATATATATATATATATATATATATATATATATATATATCACAGTCTGTTTCTATTTTTCTATCCATATATCTATGTGCATGTGTGTGTGTGTGTGTGTGTGTGTGTGTGTGTGTTTTGGGTGTAGGAATTTGTTTATAGACTTTTGTGAAAGACAGAAATTTATCAAACTCTCTCTCTCTCTATTTCTCTCTCTCTCTCTCACACACACACACTCACCACACACACATACACACGCGAATTTATTTATAAAACAAGGTCAAATTATGGGCGTGACCTTAGTTATTCTGGTGTTGAATGTTATCGAAACCGCGGGAAAATTTTTCCCCGAAATACCTCCCTGCTTTCCTCTCAACGCAAACCTATCGCTAATAACAAGAGTCACAAAGAAACCCATCTCCCAGATTTAGTTAAAACTTGCACAGTGTCGTAAAACATGCTGTAAGAAAGTCTCTATTGAAAGGAGGTTGTTTTCATTGTCAAACAAAAACAAAGAAAAGAATTGAAATTCTAGCTTTAACAAAAACATAACGCCCAAGAGCCGCTCAAACTAGAGTTTTATTTAATGATGTTTTATTTAATGATGTTGTTCCATGTGCGTTAACGGTAATGGCAATGTGAGCTTTTCATTATAATAATCATTTAGCATTCATTGACCGTGCAGCCAGTGTTACTCGCTATGCTTTTCTTCATTCCCTGGCCATCGGGCTGGGATCAAAGTGTAGTATCTGTTCTCCTCATCTCTAATGGTAATGGTAATACTAGCTGTTTCCTTATAATGAAAGATTCGGTATTCATTGCCCGAGCAGCCAGTGCTACTCTTTACGCTTTTCTTCCCACCCTGGCCATCAGGCTGGGATCAAAGTGTAGTATCTGTTCACCTCATCTCTAATGGTAATGGTAATATTAGCCGTTTCCTTATAATGAAACATTCGGCATTCATTGACCGAGCAGCCAGTGCTACTCTTTACGCTTTTCTTCACTCCCTGGCCATCGGGCTGGGATCAATGTGTAGTATCTGTTCTCCTCATCTCTAATGGTAATAGTAATATTAACTGTTTCCTTATAATGAAACATCCGGCATTCCTTGACCGAGCAACTAATGCGACTCGCGTTACTATTTCTGATCACTCTCTGGACATCGGGCATATTATCAAAATGTAGTATCTGACCTTGTGCAAATTAATTGAAACAAACGTTTTAGTTACTTTTCTTTCACCATACGATCAGTTTTAGACCCTCGAGAGTGACAGGGTGTAATCGATTTTTATTTTTTCCTCAGAATAGGTTATTTGCAGTGGTGTGCAGTAATATGAGTCTATTTTCGGAATGTATAATGAAATTTGATTGGCCTTGAAAAATATTGCGTCATCTGTGATTGCATCAGATTTTTATCATGCCTAGACACTGTTGTCTCGACTATCGATTAGTTGTCCTCTGGCCATTATCTGCGATGGACGTTACTCTAAGGAAGCGTACGAAAATTGTAACGCTGCACAAAGACGATGGAAAGCCTTACCAGTGAGCAAATCAAAGTACTACAGACTGACCGGAAACTATCCCGATTTAAATCCAATCAAGAATCTATGGACAATCTTCAAGAAATGACTCCGTGGAATGGGCATACGAAGTACTAACATGTGCACTGGGTCCATGTTTCATTGGAAAAATACGAAAAGATTAAATAATAACGAAATTATTTTTTGTTTCAATTAATTTGCACAATGGTGTATATTAATCTTGAGTAATAATTAAATCCGCCATTTTTTCCTATATTCTACATATTTCTCTATAATAAGAAGCATTCTTGAAAATTACCTATCATTAAACATCAGATATAAAATAAGGATCTAATTTTAAATTACTGTTAAGTTCTTATCAGTTATTTCTTATCTTATCAGTTATTTCTTAACAAATCCATCGGGCAAAAAGTATGAAATTGAGCAAGCAATAATCAAATCCACCTTTTTTTAGCAGAGTATTCTACATATTCTACATATTTCTCTCCTCTTGAAAAGATGCCTCGTAAAAACATTATTGAGGAATATAACGTGAGCGCCTTTTAAGTGCTCTGTAATTTTAAAATTTAAGAAAATATTCTCCGTTATCTAATGTTTTATTAAATTTTAAAGGATTTTAGCTTTAAATTTACTATAGTTATCGCAATTAGTTTCTGATAATATCATGTATATGCGACTGTATCTATAACATTTTATACGTATTTTGAGGGGTTTTTTTTTCATTTGGAGTGATCATGATTTTTGATCTAAAAGAAAATATTAGAATATGACGTATCTTAAAGACAGAAAAGCGTTTTGAGGTTTTGCTCTAAAAGTGATCATTTCATATAGTTTTAAAAGAAATTGTCTTGGATTCTTGAGATTAGACTCTTGTGTTTTTTGTTTTTTTGATCATTTCGTTGTGTTGAAAAGAATATCTGAATCATGGCGGCGATTGTAACTGCCGCCACGGTCTCGGTTCCCGCCATTACTTCTACTTATCATCTCTCACTTTCCCGCCATTTCTCACTCGGCACCAGCATCATACGGACAACGCTCAGGTGAACTCCACTTTAAACATTATTCCGACTGTTATCCTCATCTTCATTACCATATTAACAACGTTTCGACTGTTTTACGCATCGCCCTTCTTCAGGACATGTCTATATCTCTGAGATGAGCTATTATGGTTACTTACGTTATTTACATTATTCCGACTGTTATCCTCATCTTCATTGCCATATTCACAACGTTTCAGCCGTTGTACGCTCCGGCTTTCTTCAGGACCTGGCTATATCTGTGAGATGAGGTATTATGATTACTCGCATTATTTACATTATTCGGACTGTTATCCTGATCTTCATTGCCATATTCAAAACGTGTCGACCATTTTACGCTCCGGCCTTCTTCAGGACCTGTCTATATCTCTAAGATGACGTAATATGATTACTTACATTATTTACATTATTTGGACTGTTATCCTCATCTTCATTGCCATATCACAACGTTACAGCCGTTTTACGCTCCGGCCTTCTTCAGGTGATTAAAATTTCTAACCGAATCCTTTATTTCGCCGACATGGTAGATTGTCCTAGTTCTACGTGCCATGCCTCTGCCGGATGTCTCTTCCTTTTAAATCCACTCTCTAATTTTTTGACTCACCACTCCTGTAACATGTTATTGAACTCACAACTCTTCGGGTGTAGTCACTGGATCTAACTAACGTCTTTATACACTGGGGCATGTGTCGTTGAGGACCTGAAGTTGGCCGGAGCGTACAACGGCCGAATATGGCAATGGAAATGAGGATAATAGTCTGAATAATGTAAATAATGCAAGTAATCATAATACCTCATCTCAGAGATCCAATCACCTGAAGAAGGCCGGAGCGTACAACGTCCGAAACGCTGTGAATATAGCAATGAAAATGAGGGTAACAGTCCGAATAATGTAAATAATGCAAGTAATCATAATACCTCATCTCAGAGATCCAATCACCTGAAGAAAACTGGAGTGTATAACAGTTGAAACGTTGTGAATATGGTAATGAAGATGAGGATAACAGTCCGAATAATGTAAATAATGCAAATAATCCTAATACCTCATCTCATAGATATAGACATATATTGTACAGTTATGTTGAAACAATCAATACCTTCAATATACTTGTATTATTTCGAAATATTATTCTCATCTCTGTTGATCTTGATATTGCTATTATTATAGACGAATTTTGATCAAGTATCCTGTAGTCATTATCATAATTGCTAATATAGAATATCTGTTGACTAATATAAGTTGTTCTTGTGATATGAATCATTGCTTTTTTTTTTTGTTTTGTTTTTTGGGTTTGTTTTTTTTCCTGCTTAATCGGTTCGTCACCACCTGATCCAGGGATTGACCTCATGACTTTGAGATGACAGTAACACATGTATACTCAACTGTTATATCCTCTACCCCGCCGTCCTGAAGAATGATCTGAAGGTATCTGGTCGAAACGTTATGTCTATAATAACATCTGCATCAACTAAGATATGAACAATCGTTCGAAATATAAAATTACACATCACTGAAACGAAATAATAAACGTTGTCGTTTAGTGGAAAATCAGATAAAGTGATGACATCCGTAAAACTGTTTCCTAATCAGTAAAGCATTGTCCCAGTAAGACAAGTTCCCGTTGATGCGAGTTGAAATTTAATTTCTTTTATTTTCGGATTTCTTAATAGTTGAGAGTATTAAATCGAAAGAAATGTTAGTAGGATGCTCCCATGACAAATATTTGCAAGCAAAATTTAAGAAGTAGAATTTGGAATATTATTGTAGAAGGTATGGTTCCACTTACCGTTTAAAGACAAATTTCAGAAATCTGTAAGCTCCGAAAGGGATCAGTAGGCGTTGTAAGTTCTTTATACCGGAAGTCGTCCAATGACTGAATTTTAAACAGAAGATGACGGAAGTTAATATTTAATAGAAAAGTTTCATTTAAATATGGTTTTATTGCTCATAATACATTTGAAGAATTAGTAATATTTCCAAAATACATTTTACTTTTAATTGCGGAGTTGGAATCAAAATCGGAAATTCTTTTGGTTTGAAGCGAAGAATTTTCTAACAAGATCAAAATAACAAATAAATAATAAAACATTCGATCAGGGTAATTCTTGAAGATCATGTTTTTAAGGCAAGCAGTCTTTGTAATCATAATGCTATATATCAAGAGATATAGTCAGCCATGAACGAAAAGAGACATGATCACCTGATCGTGTATCACGTACGGCACCTAACTGACTCCCTTGCGGGCTAATGGTAATCTTCGGTACGCCTTCTTTAGAAATTTGGACTCTCTGGACTAATAGGTCAAATAGTTTTAGTATACGAGCTTAGTAAAAGTTAATTAAGCCAAAGAATGCACGAAAGTTACTAATTATTAAATTCAGAGGGTGACAGCAAATCTGTACACACACACACACACACATATAAATTAAGGTGGATTTGAGATAATTAAGTAATTCATCGAGTCTATAAGAAACCTCAACGGAATGCAGAAAGCACTGGACGGCCATTTTGTCCTATGATTTGGGACTCATCAGCAGTGCGCATCCACTACCGAGAATTGAAACCCGGACAGTTACATTGACAGGTAAATGTCATACAAACTGTACTAACGGGCCTCGGTGACGAAGAGGTAGCGAACTAGACTCGATATTGCGCCGCTCATTCACATATTCCGTGGTGGAACTCATCCAAGTTTCCTTTACCCATAGGATTGTGCCTCCCCGAACTACGACTACCATCACCAAGCCGCTCCATCCAGAGCAATAGAAGCTGGTTCAAGCAAGGATATACAAATGATAGAAATCTCTGATGAGTCACACTTATAGGACGAAGCGGCCGTCCAGTGCTTTCTGCATTCTGTTGAGGTTTCTTCTAGACTCGATGAATTAATATATATATATATATATATATATATATATATATATATATATATATATATATATATATATATATATATATATATACGCAATAATAAAGATTGTATTACGGCAAAATATGGTCGACCAAATTCAAAATGAATATTAGAAAAAAATAAAAATTATATATATATATATATATATATATATATATATATATATACTACAGTTCAAAAGTTTGGGGAAACCCTGGTTATTTTTTAAATTGGCCCCAAAATTAGTTGTTTTGTAACTTGAAATAAGCGAAAAGTATTTTACCTGGTTAAAATGAGTGAAACACGATTTTTTATTAGAAATTTTATTATGACAAAAAGAAAAACAATCATTTTATGATTAATTTATGCTCCCGTCAAAATATCCTCCTTTGGCCTTGATTACTGCGGCACAAATATTTGGAATTCATTGCAAAATCTTCTCAAAGTATAAGTTTCATAATTGATTCCATTCTTTTTTTCAATGACTCTAAGAGCTTTTTTTGATTTTTTGAATAGAAAGTTTTCACTGTTCTGTCAAGTTTATCCCATGCTAATTTGGCGGGGGGGGCGGTGGCTTCAAACTTTTGAACGATAGCGTATACATATTTATAATCAATCTCTATCTTCATCATTGATATATTTTTTCGAAAAAGAATGTTTGTAATTGTGTTTCATAATTTCAAAATATAAATTTTGTTTCATAATTTCAAAATATAAATTTTGTTTCATAATTTCAAAATATAAATCTGCAATCGATAAAAATAAGAAACAATGATTCGAAACTCAATTTCATTTTTCATTGAGGCAATTGCTTTATTTCTCAGAACAAAACATATTCTAAAATTTCTTGACAAAGCTTTGCTGGAATTTCTACAATGAGGAATAATCATTATTAGAGAGCGAAACATGTGATTGCGTATATAAATATATGATAAGACAAAGAACAAACTTAAATCAATCTAAGACGTTTCAGTTTTATTAAAGCTTCGTCAGAAATTGAGATATGAAGAAACTGAATCGTTCATAAAAGTGAAACATGTTAGAATGATAAACCTTTTTTTTTGTTTTTGCTTATCATTTTGTTAGAACCTGATCCATATTTTATTTATATTTATTCTCAATTCATATATATATATATATATATATATATAGAGAGAGAGAGAGAGAGAGAGAAATAATATTAGTGGTAAATATACACATACATATGCAAAATATATATATATATATACATAGGTGCATACACGTATATGTATATTTTTTGAATAAAAAATTCCGAGAGGATAGAATCCAGGTAGAACTCGATGAACACAGCGACCCTTTCAGTAAATGTAGTTCAATTTTACTTTCCTTCGCCCCATCTCTCTCCCCCACCTCGTCTTTTCCTTCCTCTTATCCTGATCTTCAACATTAAATCGTCTATGGTGTGTGTATGTCACCACAAAATGTATCTTTATGCATTAGACATCCGACAACATTCATATTTCTCTTACTTAAACCCCTTCCACTCACCTCTCCTAAAATTATCT